TAATGCCCAAAATGTGATTTTTCAGAACTCCATTAAGAAAATCAAAAGCAAGTAAAACGAAAATAACTATTGGACTTAGTATGCTAGAAAACCTCTAGGCAATGAGGCTCGGGATCGTATCTCAGAGAACACCTGACAGTTCGATGTTAGAAATCATCTTGTTGTTTACACATTTGATGCATATATTTTGAATAATTTTAAATTATTGTATGTTGCTTTTAAATGACTTCATTTTCTATTATAAACATGTTTGCCATTTTGTTGTGTATGTGTGCACCTATGTTCTTCTTTTTCTATCGTTTTTTTATACTTTCATGATGTGAAAACCATTTGTTAATTAAATAGGTGGAATTATATTATAATAAAATCTTAAAATAGAATTATATAAAAACAAGGTTAGGGGCCTGAAAAGTCCTACTGGAGTCCTCAGCAGTCCCTTAAAAATACCATAGAACTCCTGTGGGAGCCTTCAAGAGTCCCTCATGAATCCCTTAAAAATCCTCCATGACTCCACAGAGGATCCTACTGGGGTCCCGTGACAGGACTCCTGCTAACTCCTGTAGGACTTTTTTTCAGGACTCCTGGAGGAGTTTAATTAGGAGTCTCGATTAGGGTACTCCGTTCTAAATGATTATGATCGATTCTAGTTCGTTAGTTTGACATTCTGTCAGAGAAGTCGTTTGACCATTAATCTCTCATAGTCAGCACCTTGGCTAAGCAAAAACCAACCACTGACAACCTTATATATATATATATATATATTCAAACTGTAAGGTTGGAAATTATTTATGGAAAATGCTCGGTGAATTTGAAAGAGTATCTACAGGAATTCCTCGAGGATTTCCAGTTTATAGTAAATCGAATTTCAACAATCTAGAAAATTGTCGTTGAATTTCCATAAATAATTCCCAATAAAGTAGAAATTCCTTTTTGATTTTCTATAAACTGGAAATTTCTTGGTGAGCCTGCACCGAGTGGCGGCGCGACCAGATTGTACTGGGTTTGACCCCGCTCCCACATGCTTTTGAAAAATTTTTGGTAAATGCCTCCGATTTTGGGACCTTTCTACCGAAACTTCGCGCCCGTACTGTCTCTGCCTAAATCAAAATTCTTACTGGCACTGACAGAATTGTAATTTAAAGTGCAAACTGTCAAAGCTGATTTAAGTATAATATGGGTGTCTTTACGTGACGCTTTTATACCTACACTGATTGCAAAACAAAAAGATAAATAAGTATTTGATCTAGAAATTCCTGGTCGAATTTCTAGTTTATAGAAAATTCTCTGCGATACTCCACCTTTATAGAAAATCAAATTTATGGGAATTCAAGCCAATTTTCTATAAAGTTTTTTAGAAAGCTGAAAATTCGCCAAGAAATTTCTATAAACTAGAAAATCCCCAGCGGTTTTTCGGTCGATTTTCTATAAACTGGAAATTAGTTCAAGATTGCATCAATTATCTTCAGTATACGTTACCCATTAAACAAGGCAGTGTGCAGGTGAAGGGTAACAGATGCCTAAAATTGTAACTACTATTTTCTATATTATTCATATTTCAGACAAAGATTAAGCACTGACAATTATGAAAAGCAAATCTCATGCAGCTTCCAGCTATTATATGAGAAATGCTCAATATGACAATGAGCAGCAGCACTGTTATTGCTCGTCAGATACCTCAACTTGGTGTCTTTATCATAAAGGTATGCTAACCAACAAATGCAACAAAAAATAGTTTAGATCCTGTATTTGGTCCATTCTTGGACAAAACGATCAAATAAAAAAATCTAACTATTAAAATTTACTCAAAAGATGTTTGCGTGGCCTCATCCAAAATAGTAATGAGCACATTATAAAAAATTTTCATTATCCATTCAAAAATCGTTATCAAATTTTGGTTTTTACTATTGTCCACTTAAAAATACAATGCATTTTGCCTGTGAATAATTTTTGGCCAAGACTAGATGATGGAATCTGGTTTTGTCAAGAATTGTTGGCGATATAATTAGGAGTATTCTGAACTTTTTTCTCTATTTTTCTCGTGAAAACTTACCACTTATAAGAAATGATCCACGTGGAAAATCAAGAATCCGTTCCTTTTAGTGTATGAGAATTATAATTTTGTTGAAATACAACCATTGCCACATTTTCAACACTAAATTTGAAATATTTGATTAGAGAACATAAGTGCTCTGTTCTCAGCTGTTTTACCCATAGCTTGGAAGAAAAGGTATTAGAGAGTTAAAGCTTCTTATCAAAAGTTATCTCGCTGAAATTTTTATCTAAATCAAACAGAAATTAAAAAGAATTTTCTCATGTGGAGGAGTAGCCCAAAAGCGATATAGTTATAATAAGATTTTATTTTTTTAAAGAACCACTATGTGAATATACGTGGGAGAATTGACGTATGTTTAATGCAGTAAAGCAATAAATAAATGTCGTTACCATACTACTTTGGATACAATTTAATATCGGTAAGTTTGCAAAAAAAACTTCTATCACAGTGATAAATGTTTTTGAATGCTTATTGAATTTTTTTATTTCAAGTGGTTAAAGCATGAACAAGCTATTCGTAGCAACCGTGGTCCTTATGGCCTATTTTGGTTTGACTGAATGTGTCTCCGTAAGTGTGGAAGACTGGACACCTGTGGATGATCGTGTACAGCGTTTCCTCCTCGAAAGTGCACTCACAAGAGCCTTATCTGTTCAGTCAGAAGTCCCACTACGGGATAGCTACGGATGCGATGTTTCAGGTTTCGTTGTTAGCGACTGCGGTCAGAAAGGTAAATGCTGCGATGTACATGACGATTGTTACCGCAGAAATGGTTGTTCAGCAGCCAGTTGGCTTTGGCCAGTTGGCGCGTGCGGTGCATGTAATGCTGCTGTCGTAGGGTGTATCACAACTTCAAATCCAGGACCAAGTTCATGCTGCAAGAATAAAAATTGTGGTAAACCACGACCATAGTGTAATAGTCTTTCACGATTTTCGTCTGTTTTGCCAAATTGTAACACCTCCCCCTGAACTGAACAAATAAATTTTAAACTGAACAGTTATCTTGTAAAATAAATTACGTTAATGTTCAATTTACTCACCCTAGTGGGATTTTATACTCTACTGCGTTAAATGAATATTCTTGTCTAATTATCAGTAACTTCTCAAGCACCTTGAAGTATGAAATAAGAAGGCAGCATCGATTACAAAGGGCAGATCTTTCTTGAGCACTGTTATCATGTTTTATGAGATCAACGCCTTTGCTCCGACGATAAAAGAAACAGATCATTGAAGATATTGTTTAGCAGAAGAGTTTAAGAAAAAGATGATTAGACTGAAAATTTTCAATGGAAAGTTTTGTTCAAAAAATCGAATAGTAAGTATGCTATTCGAATCACTTTGGTCTGCTGATCTCAAGTATGTTATTACTGTTGTTATTGACATGTTATTAGTTTTGCTTGAAAAATATACGAAAGTGAAAACACCGCTAAACAGATGAAATGGCGAAGGTCAGAGGTGAGTGTGCAATCTTTCGGACAAAAGTTTTATCGATGCTCTTCGGATCCTTAGGCTTCCACGATTATTTTGTCATCATTATGATCTACATTGAATGCAGATTCTATAGCAGAGAGAGAAATCCTTAGTTGAATGAAGCATCCGAAACGGCATATCTCATTAATATTAGAGGCTTACGGGCAAAAGCTGACAATACTAGCGAAGTTAGCAGGTTTGATTTATTGCAACTATTAATAAATGATAAGCGACCTCTTTTTGTTGCGTTAACTGAAACATGGTTAAGTGATTCTGTTCTCACCTGCGATATCGACATTCCTGAATATGCCTGTTATAGGCGCGACCGTCAGGGGTTCGCTGGTGGATGTCTTATATATGTGCGAAATCATCTTTCGATAAGTCGTCTTACTATCTTCGAACATAGTGAAATTGAAGTTATGTTATTTTCCATACGTATTCCTAATATAGGTCAAACACTTGTCGGTCTGTTTTACAGACCAGATTCAACGAATGCCGTCTATGATGTTTTTCTGGAATATTTCAAAGAGATTCTCGAAAAACTTGTGCAATGTATTTTTAACAGTAAGATGTATCAGTCTGGTCATGCTACTCGTACAATATATAATTATAATGCAGTTGATTGGGGTTATTACTGTTACCAGATTTCGCAACAACTACGGAATAATCCTAACGTTTATATGTTTGGTGTCTCCGTTGATGCACGCTATCAGGCTTTATGTCGCTGTATCTTAAAAGCAGCTGAACTTGCTATTCCTTCTAAAGTTATTACACTTCATCAGCGTGATAAACCGTGGTTTACTGAAAGTTTGCGATGTCTTTACAGGAGGCGTAATAGACTGTATAGAACATATAAACATACCCAGAACACCAAACATAATGCTCTCTATCGTTCAGCATCCAAAATATTTTTTACTCAGTGTGAAGACGAGAAAAAAGCGTATTTTGCGAAACTTAATAATATTCAAGTTAATAATAAAAACTGGTGGAAACTGTTAAAAGCTTCGATGGGACGCAGAGCTACTGTTAACATTCCTAGCTTACTAAACCCTCAATCTCAATGGGTACATGATAATCTTGGTAAAGCAAATCTTATGAATTCGTACTTTGCATCAGTATGTTTCATGTCATCCATTGATGAGAATCGTACATTTAATTATCCTTTACATACATCTACTATTTCAATTGAGAATATTTCAGTATCTGATTCTGATATAGATAAAATAATTGGTGGTATCAGCACTTCCAAGGCTTGTAGTCCTGGTATTACATGCGGAATGCTGCGTGAGGCGAAACTTTTTATAACTGATAGTCTGAGAAGTATTTGTCAACAGTCACTTGATGACGGTGTTTTTCCTTCTAGTTTAAAGATCGGACATGTTACGAGCCTTTATAAATCCAAGGAGCACTGGCTGTCTTGTAATTATAGGCCGATGACATTGCTCCCTATAATGTCAAAAGTCTTTGAACGTATTGTGTTTCGCGCGGTTTACACTCACTTGGTAAAAAATAATCTTCTTAATATGATGCAATCTGGCTTTCGCAAATATCACAGTACTGTGACCCAATTAATCGAATTTGTACATAATATTTATCGGGATCTTGAAAATGGTGATGATTGTATTGCTGTTTACTTAGACTTCAGCAAGGCTTTGGATAAAGTTTGGCATTCTGCTTTTCTGAACAAGTTGGAAAAAAAAGGAATTCGAGGTGCCTTGTTACAGTGGTTTCGCAGTTATTTATCTGACAGATCGATCATTACAGTCGTCAACGGTCAGACTTCTAAACCTGCAAAGATAAATCGTGGAGTTCCTCAATGCTCTGTCTTGGGGCCTCTACTATTTTTTGATATACATTGATGATTTGGCTGGCGATCTTGACTGTATAACAAGGCTATTTGCAGATGATACTGTCCTATATTTTAGCGCTCGCGTTCGGACCCAATTGGTTGCTAATGTTAATTGTACTTTATCGAAAGCACTATTGTGGTCTGAAAAATGGCAACTGCCTCTTAACATCTTAAAATGTGAAGGACAGTTATTTACTAAACATTCAGATGTGAATGTAGGTATTGTAATATTGGGCAACTCACAACTACAGCTTGTTAAGCAGCATTTAGGAGTTATTCTGTCGAATGATCTGAATTGGCAATCACATATCAAATACATTATGAGTAAATGTAATAAGATTTTACATGTAATGCACAAATTCAAACATCATTTCTGTACTTCTGTTCT